GATGTATAGAAGAACATCAGCGCTTTGTTGTCCCTTTTAAGTTCCTTTCTCTGCCCCCCCCCTCCCTGCTCTTAGCCTTAGTCATTCACTTCTCACAATTTATCAGACACTAGTCAGCGGATATTAATTTAATATAAGGTAAGACTATGTATTATATTATTAGTACATGAATGAATTGGAGATTTATAATTAATTAATCAATTAATAAATGACGTGTCTGGTCTTTCGTGGGTCATCAAAAAACCATGAAGTCATTTATGGATGTCCCTTAAATCAATTATGAGCTGGGCACATACAGCTGTACACGTAATCACCGTTTGTCGGTGTGGTCGAGTCGGTAAAGCTCATGGTTGCTAAACCGAAAAGTCTCGAGTTCGAACTCTCGGGCAGATGAGGCTCGTTCGCTGGGGACAGCCACTCTTCTAGGAGAGACAACTCCAAAATCAAACAACTGCTGCCTTGTAGTTTGTTCTTGGTCGGACAAAGGCTATGGAAGCAAATCCAAAAAGAAAAGCAGGCTGAAATCGGAGTTAATTGCCTCAATGGCACGTAATCCTTAATTGTGATGGAAGCATGGACGAGTCAGCAAATTCGAGTTCATACCCTTTGGCAGATAAGGCTCTATTCCCCCCCCCCCCAACACTAAAAATTAAGAACGAAGAAGAAGAAGAAAGACACCCTCACTGGGTGTCCGCACAGGGGGATAGGTGTACTACTTGAATCATCAGTCTCGCTGCATTAGGGACCTCCGCCGGGAAAGGGGGGAGCGGGATTGGCTTTATTTTTATATTTTCGCCACTGGCACCTTGATAGTGATTTTGTAAATAACTAAGAGATTTTCAAACAGTAATGATGTTATACAGTAGCTAAGACATGATCTTGCGTAAAAAAAATACATATAAGCTGAAGTGTAAAACAGAGGCAAACATTCAAGCTACTTCCATGACTTATTTCCCTTTTTTAAATTGTCAAATAGGGGTACTCAGAGTTCCTTTTAATAGATTTGTACTAAACATTTTAAAAAGTAAGTATTATGTTTTTTAAAAAGGACTTACTAAAGAATAATATTGTATAAAAAGAAAATGTATTTAAAATGAATAATATAAATACAAAAAAAAACATACAACTAAACATAACACAAAACACGAAACACCATTACTTATACAAAGCTTTCATGT